CAATGTTTGCTTTTTTTTCCTATTCTTCCTGCTACCAGATCTGCTATCCATTTACACAAGTTCATTAGGTAGGCTGCTCGATGTTTCCCTCCGCTAATCTCGCCTTCAGTGTGTTCTGTAAGTATCAAATTCTCCAAGACTTCTTTCCCCATATGTGTACCAGAACTTTTAACTATCTCTTTCTGATACGATGCAAAAGTGTCCTTTTCGTTTCTCTTTTCCTTAAAATGTCCTCATTGATTACATGTTTCGTCAATAGTATTCTTAGCAATCTTCTGTAGAAACACATTTTTTCTGCTTCAAGTCTCATCTGTGAGAAAACTGTCCAGAAAAGTACCTGACCTTTTTCTACTGGAAGAAAAATGGTGGTAGAGGGCCATGATAAAAAAATCTTTCGACAAAAGGAGGTAGCGATTCCCAAAAAGAAAAAGAATTTGGAAGGCCAAATCAATAATCTACTTTTGCTTCCATCTTCATCTATTTAAGGAATCGCTTCATGTTCTTGTCGCAGAAAATGCCAACTTTAAGATTTACACCAATTTACTGCATCGAATATCCGATCTTTTACTGAAAATGCTAGTTTTTCAATCAGGGATGCGTTTAAAATGCGTTTTCAATCAGGGATGCGTTTAAATGCTATTAGTTTAATTGCTTTATTATCCCGTATTCTGATTTTTCAGTAATTCATTTAGGACTCCATGGTGATTTTCTAAGCTTAGCCTAGACGTGGCACAAGGCTTGTTGTTCATTATGACGGTCGTCTTTGAGCATAGAATCCAGAGGTTAGCAGTGAATATTTCGAAGACAGTAGGAAAGCGTTGTTCAGGTTAGCAGTGGATATCCCGATAAAGTAGCAGAACGTAGTTCTTCCTTCTGTTTCTCTTCGCCTGACAAACTGGCACTGGACATTCGGATAGAGTAAACAAAATGGCCGCCTTTATACACGACGGACTGAATATTCTACGTCTTCTGATTGGTTAACCTTCTATTGGTGGACTCTAAAGTGAGTCAAGTCATTTGGGCTAACTCACTAGTACATAATACCCCAAAAAACTGCAACAAGGCTGACAGTCAGTATTCCGTAGATCTGACAAGTGAAATCTCTCAAGTGCTGATGTGTTTTATTTTTTATATATCCAATGTTCACCCTGTACAAGGCCCAAGACCCACCAGGCACAGTTTATGGGGATATGTGGGGATGATAACGGATGGTCCTAGATTTGAACAAGTTAGGACTGTAGTGATCGGAAAAGCATCCTGTTGGGAGTCGGTTCCAAAAAGCATCGGTTTGGGAGAAGATGCTGCTCTAGTGAAACAAAACAAAACAAAAAATCCGCCTGAGAGAATAAACAATTATTTTAACACTTTTACCAGCTTGTCCCAGGGTGGTATTTCCTACGAAAAGATTCTCAGAAGCAGTTTTCCAAAGTACTTTTTTTTCTTCTGAAAGGAAAATCGCCAATGGTTGATTTTTGCAGAAACGTGCGAGGGGTGGGTCTCATTTGTAACTGAGCTATCAATTTAATCCAGTCAGGACTCCATGGATGTAGCAAGCGAAATTTCTTAAATGCTGATAATCTCGTTTTTCTTACAATGATGTTCACCCTGTACAAGGCCGAAAACCCACTAGATGTGATAAGGAGATATTTGGCGAAGATAAAGGTTGACACTAGACAACAATCGGGGAAGCACCCTCTTGGGAGTCGGTTTCACGAAACAGCGGTTCGTGGGAAGAAGCTGCTCAAGTGGAACTTACATAGCAATTTAGCACACTTTTATTCGTTTCTAACGAAATTTGCAAGTTTCTTAATACTTTGGAATACTTCACAAGTTTTTAATTCTCCCTTTTTGGAAGAAATCTTCCACTGTTTTCGAAAACAAGTTCTAGAAGCATTTGCACACACACCTAATACCGAAGAATCAATTTTTTATTAATAGGTGGTCACCAAGAATCATTTTTTAAATTATTTACTTAACCTTTCTTCTTTTCATACAGGTGTATATAAATTAATAGTATATAAAGAACTGCCCAGTAGTCAACATTGAGCTATACATAAATCTTTTTGCCTCTTAGGAAATTGTTCCACCCATGTTGCAGATACATCTAATTCTTGTACTGGCCATAAACTAACCACCTTATCCTGCTGGTTAACCTGTCACTTGTCTAGCCAATATAGTCTGTGTACATATTGATGAACACGAACTTTACTTGTTTAGAACAGATATGTACATTAGGCATTTACTCTGTTTCTCCACTAAGACGAGTTGTGACACAAGGTCCTTTTTAAGATAGGAACCCGAGCACGTACAACCGGGCAAGGAATAAAAATTGCTTACAGCCCCCGAAACCGTCGGTTGTGCTCGCCTCGGTGCAGGCACCGATCCCGCTTTCTGATGCAACGAGAGGGCGCGGCCTCGGGTAGCTGTTCCCCAGGGCTGGACACCACTCAGCATAATTTTCCTCAGTTGCGACTCTGTCCTTTGACGGAATCGCCCCTGAGTGCATTCTGCCCAATGACAGAGACGCAACTGAGAGATGATAAATAATGTCACAAACTCCCCGAAAGGAATCTACACAGGCATGTACATTAAATGCAAACCATGGCTCCACATTACTGAAGACCTTACAAAGAACTTCAAGTTCAATAAGATAGTTTTAAATTACTTCGGTTTTGCATTTAACAACTATGAATAAAAAGGAATAAAAACTTATCTGCATCCTATCAGTTACTCATATCCAATGGAAGAGAAGATTTTCAAAGCTAAAGATCATAAAAACATAGTTAAGAAATTCACACTGTCTGGGGCGAATTTGAAATTAAACATGTTGCTATCCATTGAAAAGGAATTGTTAGATGAATTCGATACAGAAGCAATTATTGGCAGATTTGCGCAATTCCCTAGTGAACACAAACGATTTCTCTTAATATAGTAGACTGCATGCAATGCTCTATTGTGCGTTTGAACTATTTGTCAATGTGTAAATTGTGCAGTAAACTACTTACAAATATCAAGTAATTACTTAAAATTAAAAAATAATTTGAAATAATTCAGTTATAACATTCAGTATTTACATTTGGTATCTACTGCCAGTAATATGTACAGTATATGTACACTGTAATCACTAAAATATACACATTTTTTTCCACAAAAATTTTAATTGTACCCTTTATCTATATGTTTTTTTTTAATTTTATTTATTCGTTATGAAAATTAAATGATAGTATTGTATTTATGAGTGGGTCCCCTTTGTCTCCTGGCAATCAATATTTTTAGACCCAGCTTGCTACTGTTCACAAGTTCATATATAAGTTCACAAGTTCATTATATTCACTTACGTGCTAACCAACCATGGGAAAGATCTTTTCTCCCCCATCCCAACAAGCTATGAATAAACAGACAATCGTGGGTGGCAACCGGTCTCGGAAAAGAGTAACTCTGAATTAAAAAAAATCTCCAACTGTGGGTAAATATTAGGGAAGGCTTGGCTCTGTAGCCATGGTTGGCAACAAAACTAGAAAAATGAGAACTCTGAATTCTAATCCGGAGCCTGAATCCCTAAGACAGTCCGATATCCCGTTCAGTGTCCTTCTGGTAACTTCTGCGGCGATGCCGGACACTGTATTAACCCCTACCTTTCCCTTGGACATTTTTGGCGTAGAGTGAAGAGACGTAGGTCATGGACAACTAACGATCTCTCATAAAATAAAAAAAAAACTGACCAGATCTGCGCCCTGGAGAGGGCATAACTCTTCGTGTGCAGATCCATGGTCTCTCGAGACCGACGGATACCAGACCGTGTCCGCGCGTATGTTGCCATTCACACGGATACGAAAGCGTTTTACTTCGCAAGGAAAAATCTGCAAGTTATGCTGTGTGCGCGTGTTTTCTACACGTGTTGAAACGTCAGTAGATTCTTAACTAGATCAGCAAAATGTCTTTGTCCACTTAACGGAAGCCATACGACATATTGAGGTTATTGCAGAATGTAGACTACTGTGTTATTTAGTTTAAGTTGATATGTCTGTGTGCGTTTGAGATTATATAATATATATATATATATATATATATATATATATATATATATATATATATATCAACTTGTGTGTTTATAAAGCCCTTGACCCTCAGAGTTACATTCCATAAATGTTGTCATTTATATTGTTCTGGGTGTTTGGTTTTCGAGTACACACGCCCTTGGATCACATATGCATAGACTTACGTCTTTTTTCTTTAGGCATTTATTCTTGGGAGCACAAGTGGGGTGCCAACGTTACCAAATTTGCGATATATACACAAACACGGCGCCATGTCGGATGTCTTTAACGAATAAAAAATATATTTATGTTAACCTAAAAACTCTGCTATAAAAATTAAGAAGCAAATAAAATAATTCGACTTCTCTTTTTTTTTTTCTTTTTGTTTTCTTCAGAAATGTTAATACGGCCCTTTACAGGTGTATTCTTTTAATCTAAATTGTAGAAAGAAAAAAGGCATTTTTTTTTCAAAAGAGGTATTTTTTCGAATCAAAAATGAAAATGGCAAAATATAGAAAAAAAAAAAATGCAAAGAAAAAAAGCAAGAAAAGAGCAAAAAAAAAAGCAAAAAATTAAAGTGGAATTTTTACAAAAGACAGATTTTGGCACTGCTTTAAAATGACTAAAAAAGGAATCAGAAAATATCGAAACATACATGGAGAAAGTAAAATGGGCTGGAATAGATGAGCGTATTTTACATGTACAAAAACATACCGATCTCTGATTGCGTAACGCGAATTTGACAGAGCGATTTACATATCACGTGACGAGCCCCGTAGCAAGTTTGTGGCATCCTACCGGTTCACGCGAACCGATTCTTAAAAATTATAAACGCTTAGCGAAACGGTTGTTGGATTATCCGAAAGTAATCTTATATATTAATAGCCGATCGTCTAGGTAAAATGTTAGTTACGCTACGCCTGTCGAGTACCTAGTGAAACTTTAATAGACACACGCCCCTACCCCAACAGTAAGCAGCAGACAGCGAGGGAGAAAAAAATAAAAAGTAAAAGAAAGACGTAGATAGATAATGTTTGCTGTGTAAAAAAAATAGTTGAAAGAGGGAGATCTTTGGGACTGCAGCCTTTCAGTTTGAATGTGGCCAAGAAACCATAACACAGCTAATGACAGCGTTTCTCAACCTTTTTATCCTTGTGTAACCCTTAAAATAAATTACATGTCTCAAGGAACCACTGCGCAAAAACAAAATTATATACCATATCTTTCTCATTTTATTTTCGTCGTGGTAAATATCATAGTATATATTTTTGAATAACTGGTTTAAGGAAAGATTAATATTTCAAATTAATATGTCAAATTTTTCGGTAATGCTAAATAAAATTCATACTGTTCGTTTATAATACTTCATCGGGGAGTTTTCATTCACACACAAAAAATAAACAGAAGTAAGCAATATCATATATCTATAATATAAATGTAAACTTAATGTAAAAAATGATATTACGTAAATGAAATTAAGTCAAAAGTGCATTTCGCGAACGCCTGGGGACCTTTTGCGGAACCTTAAGGTACCGGAAAACCCCGGTTGAGAAACGCTGTACAAAAAGCATCATGCTTCTGAACAGAAAGATGATGAGAACAGAATTCAATTTGAAAATATATCTCAATAAATAAATGTTTCCTATTAAATTATCAAAGTGGCTTAATTCTTTTTTATACTATATAAAGTGATTTGTTTCCATTCTCAGATTAAAAAGAAAAGAAACAGAATAGCTTCCAAAAGATTACCTGACTTTATAGAACCGGTTACTGGAAATCTGCGATGTCATTATAGCCCGTAGCCCATTACGAATGCAGATGCAGCATATGTGAGGTAATCATAGCAGTAGTGGTGTGTCTAAGGAAAGATAGCCAAAAGGAACCCATCCCTCAGACGGCGAGTTTAAAATTCAGAGTTTTTTTCTAAGACTCGTTACCACTTCAAGACAAGATACATTCAGCCCTGATATTTAAGCGATAGTGATGGAAGAAGAGTTTCTCATGGGTATCTACCTGAAAGTAAACGTAACGATCTCATAAAAGAACTCGAACTAGGCCTGGCGATTTGAAAGACAAAATCACTAACCTTTAAACGACTTCTTGCACATCCAATATATATATATATATAAAATAAATAATATATATATATATATATATATATATATATATATATATATATATAAATATCCAGACGTTGTTATACTGGATACTTCGTTTTAAAACAGATCACTTATTTTTATTTAATGAACTGTGTGTATTACTTCTAACAACGTGCGATATTTTAGCTAAGAAAATATGCTCTTCGGCAGGGTTCGAACATGCGCCCAACTTTGTAGAAGAAACCATCGTTTGATCTGACGAGCTTTAAAACCACTCAACAGCAGCAATTACAAAATTACAAATACGGGTATCTAGAAAAAATTACGTTGAAAGTAAAAAATATATTCGATTAAAAATAAATCCATTAATACGATGTATATATATATATATATATATATATATATATTATAAATTAATTGATTTAAAATATGGTTTTTCCGCTACACAGTTCTAACCATGTTTCAAAAATGGAAGGTCCGAATTTAATTTTGTAATTAAATTAAAGGCATTAGTTCCGAACTTAAAAAATCTTTAAATATACAAATAGAAAAAATGCCGCAAGAATTTTTGCCGTTAACAATAAAATTTTTAAAAAATCTAGACGACATGCATTTTAAGGGATGTCAGATTTCATTGAAGAATACATCCCTACCCCCTACCAAAACGTAACTAATAACGGATACATCAAAATACAGATATAATGAACACGCAAACACCCTCGTCTGGTTGAATTGGATTTCTCTGTATCCTTGGAAACGTGAATTATGATTTTTGCTGTCTGTAAAACCAAGTAATTTTAAAAGTTACTCCAAAATTCGCTTGAGAATGAAATGGAACTAATGTCTTTAATTAATTAATTTATAATATTAATGCTCTGTAAATTTACAATGAGCACTATTTTGTAAAAATAAAAATATCTATAAGAACACCGGATTATATATCTTACAGTTCTTCCTTTTTATTTATTTATATATATATATATATAGAGAGAGAGAGAGAGAATATATATATATATATATATATATATATATATATATATATATATATATATATATATATATATAAAGAAGTGATAGATTAGATTTTTATTTATTAATTCAATGGATTCTCTTACCTATTTTAGTGGATACTCGAATATTCAGGCCGATAGACGTAAATAAATACTCAAATACGGGTATCCAATAATAACGTATATATATATATGTTTATATATACATATATATATATATATATATATATGTATATGTATATATATATATATATATATATATATATATATATATATATATATATGCATACATATACATATATACATATGCATATATACATATATACATATGCATTATATATATGTGTGTGTGTGTGTGTGTGTGTGTGAAAAGTGTGTGTATATATATATATATATATATATATATATATATATATATATATATATATATATATATATAATTATTTATATATTATATGCGCGGTACTTATTAGAAAGCGCTCAATATCAGAGATAGAGCTAACATATTTGGTTGGATAGTTGTGAGTTTGTGACCCTGGGTTTCACTTTAGCGATCGTCAGACAAAATTAATTTTTTTAAAATTTTGTGTTTATGGAGATTGCGTGTATTGGTGTTATTATGGAAGTGGTGGGGGAAATGTCCTCGTTGTGTCATCGTACTGACGCATTAAATTATAACATATTACGTTTTTCAGTTAAATTTAAAATTCGTTAATTTATAGGAGCTTTCACAAAACACGCCATCTTTCCTTGAGTTCAGAACGTCTAAGATATGATGAAATGACTGATATAAAATATCTGTAAACCTGTTGGATGTTTAATTTGTTTTTCATATACTCCATTTTACATATATAATATACATATGTGTGCTTATCTTGCGTCTTTCTTTCTTGTCGTCTGCATCTCAGAGTGGATATTGAAGGAAAGAGGGTCAGAGGGAAACACCGTTAAAACATGCCAAACGATCTTCTGTAAATTGGTATTAGAACAAAGATTTGGATGGATAGTAAGCGAACAAATTATTGCTTAAGCTAAAAAAAAAAGATAGGATGTTGCGGAGAGCCATGATTACACACGCCCTGGAGGGACTTGGCACGTAAGAGAAGAATTCATTTTTATACATTTTTTCTTGTTTACGGCCATATGACATTGAAGCACGTGTTCTCACACGGTCACCGAAGTTAAGCAACTATCGAGCCTGGTCGGTACCTAGATGGGTGACTGTATAATACCAGGTGCCGTAAGCTTGGATGTGCGTGAGGTGTAATGCCTAATGGCTCAGAAGTGGAAATCGGAGAGCCAAGTTCTAATTCCAGTTGTGTTCTTTATATTAAATTACGTGCCAATACCATTGAGGAAGGAATAAATCCATATCTCTTCCCCAATTGTAGGTTAATTAGTAGAACTTGTATTTGTAAATTATTTATTGTCCGGCTTTAAATAACCCGCAAAAGGTTTATAAGCCGTAAAACACAAATCAATTAATTCTTGCTTAGTTCGTCCCCTTTTCTAGTTTTTTTTTTTTTTTATCGCGCTGATTATAAGCTGGAATAGTGAACATGATTCTTAGTCAGTTATCCTTTGCAGTGGCCTAATGCCAAATCCAGTGGCGTAGCTAAGGGTGGGGGAGGGTGCATCGGGGTCATTGGGGTGACATTTGAGCGGACCGCCCCGGGTGACGTTTACTCTAGCTACGCCACTGGCCAAATCTAAACTTAATGAAAACGTTCTTGTTAAAATATTTTTTTCTATTTTATTTATATTTCTACCTCTATCCTTTTTTTTCTTTACTTCTAATCCTTGAAAGAAATTGCAAATTAAATAAAGGGATATATTTACAGAAGGATGCTACCACCATGGAGCTGCCCAGGCTTCACTTTTCATCCTCGATCGAGTTCAAAAGTGTCTTCGCATCCTTTTGGGTGATGAATTACTTCTCCCTCGCCCCTTACATAGCTTTCCCTACATAGGAAACGTGGCAAGCCTCTCGCTATCTCTGTTTCCATGGAGAGGGTTCCGACGAGCTACATTCCTTAGTTGCACCAGTTCTAACATTTACTAATGCCATACCACATTGTAGCAAACTGCGCCTATTCTCTTCGTATTCCATCGGTGAAATGTAAGTTCTACTCGAGCAGATTCTCCTCATGCACCGCTTTGCGGAACCCGATCACTACAAACTTAACCTGTTCACGTCGAGGGCTAACCATTATATTCCACACATATCCCCATAAACCGGTGTTTCTTAAACTGTTCTTCTTCGTTGCTCATTTTTAGTGTCAAAAAACTTTTCAGCGCCACATATGCACAAATAGAAATTATATGTAACAGGAAATACATTTTATTTGCAAAATATAAATTTTGACTAATGACTACACTGTGGATTAATAGTGATGATATAAGACATATAAAGTAATGCTTTCAAAAACTAAAATAATATTCTTTTTAATTGTCATATTGTAAATCAATGACTCACATTTAAAAGCATAAAAATGCTGGTCACAAATAAATGAAATGGCGTCTTTCTAAAACCACACAATAAAACAAAAAATGTTTCAAATCAATTTGAAAATATAATTTATTATAAGAAAAAAAAGTCGAAGATTCTATTTAAACGATTTCTGAATTATTTGCGTTTAAAACGTAAAGCAGTTCATTCATGTTTTCATAATTCTACGCTAATAGAAAAAATAGAATTTCTAAGCCTACCTATTTTTCTTGGGCTAACTCCACGCTCATTTTAATATTTTCTCAGGTTCACTTGTGGACCTAAGGATCCCCGTTGAGAAACACGAACATAAACTGTGCTTTCCCTCTTAATATGTAGCTCACTACCTCGTGTAGCTCTTGGGCCTTGTACAGAGTGAACATTATTATAAAAAAAAAAAAAAAAAGTAGCCGCCGCTTTGCGCTCGTAGACCAAAAGATGGACAAAGGGAGATAATCTTCAATATGTTTCCAACTTAACAATCATCAAAAAAATACAGATAATAGAGGCTATCATATCTAAAGCATTTAGCAGGCAAATATTCTTTCCATAAACTCAAACAACGAAAATAAAAATGAATCAACAAAGAATCAATAAACAATTTTTAATGTATTTTTTAGAAGCACCTATGTTTAAATTAAACTAAATTTTAAGCTACTGTTAATGTCAGTTATGGCTTAAGCAACACACAAAAAAAAACCAAAGAAAACGAAAAAGCAAAAAAAAAAAAGTTATTAAATACGTTATTTCATACTGTATATGAAACTATTCTAGTTTAGTTACATGGAAATATTTTATCTATCTATTAGACTCATGCATGAAAATATTTAAGTAACCATTTCAGCAATCCGAGTACTGGTCAAAATCCTAAATTGTTTCTAAAAAAAAAAAAATTGTGTATTGCACAAACTATAAAATATATAAAATGTCAGGTAATGCTTATGCCCGCAATAAATAAATAAATAAATCCTGTTTCCAAAGAACTGTTATTCACTTCACACCGCTGTTATTATATACACTGTTGACTCCCTCGACATTTTTAATTTAATGTTAAATTTGTTTAAAAATATGGGAATCAAGTATAACACGATATTTATTTATTATAAAGATTTTTATAACCTACAACTTAATAAAGGAATACATTTGAAAAAAAAAATATTATTCAAAAATTAATTAATAAATTTACAAAATTATTAAAATAAACCAAGTATAATGCAATATTTATTATTTACCATTTTATAACGATGAAAACAAGTTTGTTTTTTTTATTCATAATTTTATAAAAATGTCAATGAACTATAAAACAAGAAAATTTTAAGAAACATGATTTTCTGGACATACTGCATTTTCTTCTAAGATTAATTCTTGTTTTAATTTTCCAATGTTTTTTTTGTTGTTGTTGTTGTTTTTCCTTTTTTACAATCGGGATCTAACATCGAGGATGACTAATCAATAGAAATCAAAGGCCTGAAACTCCAGTAATTATAGGTTACCCGCTTTCTAGTATTTTGAAAAATATAATTTTGAACTGGAAAAACGGGTTTTAAATCGTTGGTAATTTTTTTAAAATACCTAGAAAATTTGTGCTTAACATCTTTCTCAAGAATAGGTAAAATGAATAAATCCAGTTCCCTGTTTGGGTTATAATAAAATTCTTAAAAATCAATACACATTACCGAGGGAGTCATAAGTCATAGCGATGTCAAGAGAATAACCGTCCTTTTGACACACTAGCTTTTTTTTTTTTTTTTTGGGGGGGGTCCGGACGCAAAGGTTGAGCAATGCCAAATGCTATCTGCACAAAACATTGCCCGTCTTTATTAGGGACGCTCCTAAAATAAAGCTTCCTAGAACAAATACAGTAGATACAATAACACCATTGGATAGAGCAGTTTTACATCTTTAAAATATTCCCCACATTAGCTATGCATTTTCAATTCGGTCTTCATTTTGCAGAGTTGCTAGGAACCGAGGCTGTCATCGTTGTCAGCACTGCTAAAACGTAGCCTGGTCAGCGGGATACCGATATTTGTAAATACGAAATATCGTGTGCGTTCTAAATCCACCAGATCGTTCACAGTTATCTCTTATTAAAGCTAATCACCCTGCTTCAATTGTAATCTATATATTTTGTACTAGAAATAGTCATAACAATTGCTTTATTCAAATTTTGCAAAATCTAATTTCAGGATCGCACATATAATTTCTAAGTAATATTTTAAAAATAAATATTGAAAGGAATTGTTTTTACTTGTCAAATCTGAAAGAAAATAACAGGTTTTATAAAACTGTGCAAACACTAAGAATAATTTTTGCGTTTTATTGAATTACTTTTGGTAAGGTTCGTAACGAATTCTTAATCTGTTCACAGTCGACACACACACACACACATATATATATAAAATTATCATTATTATTATTATTATTATTATTATATTATTATTATTATTATATAATGGCAAACACTTGAAAAACCATAGGTTATATTTATTTCATTGAAGTTGATAAAAAACGGCTTCAAAACTTCAGACCTGTAAACCAAATGTAAACGGAAAAATGTTTAAAAAGTGATTTGCCATTATATAATAAATTTTTGCTCTGTTTTTGACAGAGTTCTCAACAGATCTATATCTTCTTGGAAATTCCATACGGATTACCAATAATGTTTTTATTATATATATATATATATATATATAATGAAATGGACTAAGTCCGACAATTATTTTAATATATTGTTTGTTATTTTTATAGAAATATTTGTATCTATAAAAAATAACGTATAAACAATGTATGTGTGTGTGTGCTCTTTAAAAACAGGTGATCAGTTGAATCCGCTACATTGGTTTTAACCATACTTGTTTTTTTTTTTGTGTGTGTGTTTTATATATATATATATATATATATATATCACCTGAGGATACTGTAAAGTTGAAACCAAGGTAGCGGATTCAACTGACCTCCTGATTTTTAATGTTAAAAGCTCTACATGTTATTTTTAATTTTATTTTTTCACGCGTATATTAAGCACTTTTTAATACTACTGTTTCCTGGTTTGATCCAACTGACCATTAACCTTTATGTATTATTATATAAATATATATATATATATATATATATATATATATATATATATATATATATATATATGTATGTATGTATGTATGTATGTATGTGAGTTCACATTTTCGGTTTTTTCTACAGTTATATAAAAATATCGCTGAAAATAACATTATTGAAATAACATTTTCAGTGGTTTTTCTTTATATAACTGAAAATAAATGTGAACATTGTCTAAATTTAAAAGTATACACATTATATAATAGCGCAGCAACTGACCCCTCAAGATATTTCCATAAAGTTTTCTAAAATAATGATCTATTCAACATAAATTTAATTTATTAATGAATAAGTAATGAAAATGTCATTTAAATCGGATAATTCCCTGACTTTTGGTAAATCTTCAAAAGCTGATGGTAGAAGTTTTTTTTTTCTTGTATGAACTTTTTTTTTTTTTTGCTTATTTTCATTATCAAAAATGTGCACGCTTTTTGGTAATACGTAACACTAACATCATATTGAACATTAAGATCACCAACAAAGAATAATCATTAGAAAAAAAAACATTTTTAATTCAAAAAGAAATACTAACAAAAGTCTGAAATGCAAACATTTTTTTCATATTTCATTTAAAACTGTTAACTGGATCCTTGTTCTTAAAACACGAGTTTTTAAAGTTCAATCTTAAAGTACTTTCTTATGAACGAAATACAAGCACGGTATTAAAAACACATTTTTACCCATAAAGATTTTTAAGGTGGCATAAGAGTTCTTTCCCTTTTTATAAAGTTACTCCCCTTGCATTGAGTTGGCTATACGTGAAAGAAAGGATAAATTAATATTTTAATAAGTAACTTAAGTTTTAACTAACTCATGTTATTGATTTTATAATTAATTAATTTATCGCAATCATTTAAACGGAAAGTGTAAATATTTTATTCAAATTTTTCACCATAGCTTAGTTAATGTATTCCCCAATAAAACATTTTTTATGGATAAGTAATCAAATATTAGTCAGTTATGTACCATGCGTGATGCTCGCTTAGGCGATCATGTATCTTTCGATACATGACTGACGAGGCAGAATTTTTTCCTGCAGTAGGTTGTCATTTCTTTCTGCGGTAGACCAGTTGTCATCGAAAGCTATAGAACCCGGTCTGTCCTTTTATTTACCCATAGCTGGTGGGGAGAAGAAGAGGATTCATACCTTTCCCAAGGGCATTGGCACGTAAGTAAATGTAATGGATTCGACTAGAATTCGAACTCGGCTCTCCGATTTCTTAATCCGAGCCGCTAGGGAGGCACAGTGGATATCGGCTTGGATTGAGTAAATCGGAGATAATTTATTGGGACATGCCCAATAAATGATCGCTAACAAAAGTTAACGTAAATTTTATCATTGTTTTACCGGTTGCTAAAATAGGATTGTTTTAACGATTTGTGGCGTTTCTTTTTAATTTTTTTTTTTTTTTTTTTTTTTTTTAGAACTGACAGACAGGCAGACACAAAGACAGACGGATGGACAGACAGACAGAAGGACAGGCAGACACGAAGAAAGGTTTTTGGGCTGACGGCCAGGCAGACATGAAGAAAGGTAGACGGGCTGACAGACAGGCAGACACAAAAGCAGGCAGATGAACTGACAAACAGGTAGACGCAAAGACAGACGGACGGACAGGCAGACAGGCTAACGGACAGGCAGACGGACTGACGGACAAGCTGACACAAAGACAGGTAGACGGACTGACAGACAGGCAGACATAAAGACAGGAGGACGGACAGACAGACATAAAGACAGGAGGACGGACAGGCAGGCAGACATGACAGGCGGATGGACAGGCAGGCAGACAGAAAGACAGACAGACGGACAGGCAGAGAGAAGGACAGAAGGACAGACGGGCGGAGAGGCAGACAGAAGGAGAGGCAGATGGGATTATAGACAGGCAAACACCAAGACAGCCAGACGGGCTGACGGACATGCAGGCACAAAGATCGGCAGACAAACTGACGGACATGCAGACACAAAGACAGACGAATGGACCGGCACACAAAAGGACAGGCTGACAGACTGACAGATAGGTAGACACAAAGACAGACGAACGGACAGGCACACAAAAGGACAGGCTGACAGACTGACAGATAGGTAGACACAAAGACAGACGAACGGACAGGCACACAAAAGGACAGGCTGACAGACTGACAGATAGGTAGACACAAAGACAGACGAACGGACAGGCACACAAAAGGAAAGGCGGATGGACAGGCAGACACAAGGACAAGCAGACGGGATGACGGGCAGGCAGACGGACAGGCAGACACAAAGGCAGATGAGCTGAAAGACAGACACGAAGAGAGACGAACTGACAGGCCAACAAAAGGACAGGCGGACGTCAGGTACACACTAGGACAGGCAGACGGGCTAACGGACAGTCAGATACAAAGACAGCCAGACGGCCGAACGGACAGGCAGACAGAAGGACAGGCGGACGAACGGGAATACACAAAGACACACGAATGGACAGGATGACACAAAGAGAGGCAGACGGGCTGACAAACAGGTGGGCATAAAGACAGACGAACGGACAGGCAGACAGAAGGAAAGGCGGATGGACAGGCAGACAGACAGAATGACAGGCGGACGGACAGCCAGAGAGGCGGACAGGCTGATATACAGGCAGACCCAGATCGGCAGACGGGTTGACGGACAGTCAGATACAAAGACAGGCAGACGGGCTAACAAACAGACAGACACAAAGACAGACGAACACACAGGCAGAAGGAAAGGCGGATGGACAGGCAGACACAAACACACATGAATGGACAGACACAAGGAAAGTCGGACGAACAAGCAAACAGAAAGACAAGCAGATGGGCTGAGGGACTGGCAGATACAAAGTCAGACGACGGAGGACGGGCTGACGGACAGGCAGACACAAAGTCAGACGAACGGACAGGCAGACAGAAAGACAGGCGGAAAAACTGGCAGACACAAAGACAGCCCAAAGGCCTGACAGACAGGCAGACACAAAGACAGTCAGAAGTTCCTGATAGACAGGTAGACACAAAGACAGACAGACGGGATGACGGACAGGCAGGCACAAAGACAGCCGGACGGCCTGATGAACAGACAGGCAGACAGAAGGACAGGCGGACAGACAGGTAGACACAAGGACAGGTAGACACAAGGACAGCCAGACAGGATGACGGACAGGCAGACACAAAGAGAAACGGATAGGCAGAAAGATAGTAAGACAGACGGACGGACATAAAGATAGACGGACAGAGGGACAGACAGGTAAGCACAAAGACAGAGGGACAGACAGGTAAGCACAAAGACAGAGGGACAGACAGGTAAGCACAAAGACAGACTGACGGACTCATTGTCAGTCAGATACAAAACCAGACGGATCGGCTAACAAAAACAATTGTTTTGTCTTTGTGTCCGCCTTGACGTCAGCCCGTCCGTCCGTCTTTGTGTCCGTCAAACCGTCCGTAGTCATGTCTGTCTGTTTTTGTGTCTGCCCCTCCGTCAAGTAACAAAGCTTTAACACTGCAGCAGTGAAAAGTATTAATTGTTACAGATAAGTAATGAAAAATCAACAAAAGACGAAATCTCGATAAGTTTCGTTTAATTTTACCTTCATACAAAATAATTAATTGTAGGAAAATAAAAATATTATTCAAACTAATATTCAAAATATTGAAGGTAAATATTGTTAGAGAGAGAGATGCAACAATTCTTCAAGATCATATTTTTCTTGTTCAGTTAGAAAAGAAATGTCTGCGAAGACGACAAGTTCTTTATTTTCTATCCTTGGGACAGGACGGATTCTATATCAACCACTGAGCGCTTCACTTAGCAAGCCAAAATCAACTGATGAAACAGATTTGCTTTAACACAAAGATAAAAACGGATATCTTGGCAATGAAGAGAAAAGAGTTCTCTCTATAAACTATCAGCTTTGAGCGGCAATGATGAATCCTAACTCCTTTGGCTGCAACAATTCTGTGCAGGTTTTAACAAAATCAACGATTAACGGAATTTCAAGACAAATATCTATATTTCGTAACCGAGATTTGACTAAACTAAAAAATTGATATTTTCCTTGCATCAATCTTTTGGCCTTAGACAGAAATTCTTGACTTTTTGCCAAAAGTTCGACCAGGCTTTGGTATTCTTTGTTCAGCTGCAAAAACCGATAGGAAACAGATACTGATTTGGCTAAAGTACCGTTGCCATCTTTTTTCTGACGCTGATCTAAATAATTTCGGAATATACTCTCGGGTGCAAACAGGGAAAGTCCGAAAATGGATTTATATTCTACGTTTAGATCTGCTTGCAGTTGACGCAACCTATCGCTACTGAGTTCGTAACGTTTTTGACAAACGACAGCTCGAAGCAAACAACGGAGAGATTCCATACGAACGTCTTCAAAACAACCGATTTCATTTAAAAACGAACCCATTTCGTCCAAATGCCTTCTCGTCGAATTTGGAGAGCAGCCTTCTTTCTCCATTTGATAAGTGCACAGTACGAACCAATTTGCGGCCAAAAGATGAAGAAACATTTGAACTTCTTTTTTCATAATCTTGGCCTGGTTTTTTAAGTATTTTGCCCGAGCATAACAAGATTTCGAATTTTCTTTTAAAAGCTTTTTGATGTCGTTTTCTATCGCAATCTTCTCTTGTAGACTTTGTTGTGAGTCATTTAATAGAGACGAGGTACACAACCTCTTGGATAGTGGCTTAGCATCCCCTTGGCCGAAAAAAGAATGTCTGGAGGTATTCTGAGTGGGAATAGAAGATAGAAGTTTCGTATCTAATTTGATTAAGAGTTTCTTACATTTGGATGTAGTTTTATTTTTTCTTCTCTGATTGCCAAAATTAGGAAAAAACAAAGGAGATGAGAATGGAGTTGACAGTGGGGCTGTTTGCTTAGCGATTTGAGAACACAAACGATTGCGATAATTCTCATTCATGAGTCCAAGATTAATTTTAACTTGTAGTCTTTTCCCTTTGAACTTTGGAAAAGACGAGTCGGCCTTTGGGGATTTAGAAGGGGAGAGTTTATAAGGCGACACGATTAACTTTTTAAGAAACATCTTTTTATCACTTTTTTCTTGGGGTCTCCACTCACTGTCATGTTCAGTTGAAGGCTTGTATCTTTTAACGGAGCTGTAAGGGGATCCCTTTTAAAAAGACATTGTTCTGTTAGCCGATAAAAAGTTAAGAGACAGCGACTGTTCCGGGGAGGGTACTGCATGTGGTTGAGATTCTGTCGACAAAGAATCAAATACATTGGATATTTCACGATCGTTTGATAACTTATCCACAGGCAATGATCGTTCCATTGTTAAGGCAGACATGGCTGGTCTCTTTTCTGTTGGCAATGAATCTGTTTTGTTTGGCACATCTTTTGGTGATCTCGCTGAAGAGGAAGGTTTTTGTTCAGGATTTAAAATTGGTATGGAAGGCTGGGAATCAGAAGTGTTTGGAACATAAATATCTTTTGAAAAATTGGATAATGGAAGAGAAATCCCATTCTCATTTCTGCATACTGGTTGTTGATAACGAGGAAGAGGTGGAGGAGGAGGAGGTTTGGGGCGTGGCAGGTTAATCAGGGATCGAGTATTTGGTGAGCCACGTATCTTTGGTTGGTTGTTATGAGGCGTTTTATTATATTTCGCCTGGAGAAGATTAGACGATGCCTGCTGCTTATCTTGACCTTGCATAGAAACTGGAATCACGTTATTTGGGCGTGAAACAATCTGAGATGCGCTAGGTGGGGCAATTTTCATTTTATTCTGTAAACGATGAAATTTAAAGGGATCGAAAGAAGGTACTGGTCGCTTAACAGGATTGGAAAACTCTTTGCTATAGTACGTGACTCTAGATTCATTTTCGGAATTCTCTTGAACTGTTTTAGCAAATAGAATTTTAGAACAAGGTTTATTTGCTGGTCTTCGCCCTCTTTTGAAAGATCCGGACAGATTCTTAGCCAAAACTGGACGAGTAATTTTAATGTCGTCCTTACAAAAGCCAGTTGTTGTTGGATTATATTTAGACTCTTTGGATTTTGTAACTTCTTGTTCTATGCAAAAAATTCCTTCTGATTTGGGAGCATGGCATTGTTCGGACTTGATTTTTTCAATAGATGAGATATTTTCTGGCGGTTTGAAGTTAACTGCCTTCGGCGAAATAATTCCAATCGCAAGTGGTTCCGTAGACTTGTCTGCATCATTTTCTTCATCGGAGGAAGAACTGATATCCCCTAAAATATCTTGAACTGAATGAAGACCTATATTTGAATTTCCATCACAAGACTTTGCAGATGATGTAATATTCTGATTTTTCTCCAAGGACATCGCAACATCTTGTCTCCCTGTATTAGGAATTGGACTCAAAGGAGAAATATTTATTATCATTTCTTTCAAGACCGTTTCGACACTCATCCTGGCTTTCGGAGAACTGATTGGCGATATCAACGGAGGTAGCGTCATTTCTTTAATCATGGCGTCAAAGTCAATAATTTTATGTCTGTCGATTTCATTCAGCAAGAAAGACGGGTCTTCGGTCTGTTTTGATTTGATATTTTCATCGCTTTTCACGTTTGCCTCCTTTTCCGCGGGTTGATTTTCTGGCTTTGAGAAAATGTCGGATCCACCCGAAGAGCTTTGGATAGCGCCAGGCACTGGTGGAGGAGGAGGAGGAGGAGCTTTGGGCTGCCACCCTGTCGAACAACAGTCTTCGCGATTTTGTTTCTTTTCATGTATGTTGACGTTGGCGCCAGTTACTTTGTCTTGTGGCGAACCTTGAGAAGTTTTAGTCGTTGACTTGGAAGAAGGCTGCAAAGCTTGTAGAGGAGACACTTTGACATTAGGCTGATAGGCTCGAGGCCTTGCCCCAATCCCGTGGTAAGATAAGTCGAGTCTACGAGGCGGAAAGAAGGGCAGTAGAAACTCACGATCTTGATGTGATACATAAATAAGGTCGGAGATAAACGATTGAGATTCGACGTAGTCGCCCATCACGGTGGCTATTTTCTGCTGGAGAAAATCATCCTGACTTGACACTCGGTGTATTGGTGCAAACAGGTTCTTGTCGATTTCTTTTTCTTCTTCTTCCATCATTGCCAATATTTGTTCTGAAAAAAAAAAAAAAAGATAATTTAATTAAAAGAAATACAAAAACAAGGGCAACTTACTTAGCATCCTTCTGTAAAATAAAGATTCAGGCTTATGACCATATCTTGTTAAAATACTAGTTCCCGTACGATCACTGAAAGTTAAGCCAAGCTGACCCTGGTCAGTACCTAGATGGGTGACCACTGTAAGCTTGGATGTTTGAGTGGTATAGTAAATAATGGCTCGGAATTGTTAATCGGAGAACAGAGATCCAATTCCAGTTGGGTTCGTTATATTCACTTACACGCAAATAACCTTGGGAAAGATATGAATCCAACTCTTCTCCACTCCCCCCAGATGTGGGTTAATTAGTAAGACTTGTATCACTAAATCATTATTCCCCTCCCTAAAAAACATTCTTCTAATCTAAATATATTTTCCGGCTTTAAATAACCTGCAAAGGGTTGATAAGCCGTAGAAGCTAAAGATGCTAGGAAAATAGTTCCTTGCACTGCTACAGAAAATATCTGACTTTTCCTAACCATGATCTGTCTTTACAAGAATCATATCAAGCCAAAAATGGACTAAATGCTGTCATCTCTGGAATGGAACTGTCCAATTGTCACTTTCCAGCTTTAACAAAGAGCGTTTATGCAGCCTTGTGGGTGATGAATTATTTTCAACCCTAAAGCCCTTTTCCACTGATTTAGAATAACAAGCCTATGACTATTCTATCGCTATTTTCATAGAAAATGTTCAGGTGAACTATATTCCTTAGATCCACCAATTGTGACCCTTACAGTTAAGACCCGCCATATAACGTACACAGGATCGAATCATTCTCATTCCCTTCGTATACTAATGATAATAAAGAAGTTCTACTCAGAAAACTGCTTCCTGAGAACCTCGAACTTTATGGAACAAACTCCCGTGAGGATGCTTCCCCGATCACTACACTTTAACCTCTTCGTGTTTAGGATTAACCGTTATCTATCCTACATATCCTCCTAATCTGAACTTAATTCCCTCTCTTATGTACAGAGAACTACCTTATTCAGTAACTTTCTACCTTTAGTGACTCTTAGGCCTTGTATTGTTTTCCCATTACTGTTATACAGAGTGCGGCAGAAATACCTGCCACATATACCTCCCGAAAATAACCCCCACATAATGGTAAGACATTAGCTAGATGAAGACATAATTGCTACTAATGTCTTACCATTATGTGGGATGTATGCGTATGTAGGAGGTATTTCTGCCGGAACCTGTATAAATGAATACAGCCGAGAAAAATTTTATCAAGTTCAATTGTGGATTTTAAGCAGTATTTAAATAAAATCGCCCACTCGTACAAAAAGGAGGGTGGGATTCATTGAAGGAAATAACTTTTTGTATGTTAGCAATCTTTAAATCTCGACACTTTGTAGAATAAAAAAATAATGATTTTTTTATCGATTTAGAAGGGCGTCCTGCATATAATATTGATATAGTGTAAAATCGATTCCTGGCATTTACAGAGTTATTGGACTTTTTTTGCGTACGAAGACAGAATTTTTGTGGCGGTTAAGAAAAATATTTCTTCTAAGTAAATAGAACAAAATTTTACATGAATTAATAACAGTATATATCCATTTATTCTTCATTTACAATAAATCATTATTAGCCACAAATATTTGGGATTGTTCTTTCGATAAAAATCTCATAAAAAAGAAGCTTTAAAAAATTATTTTAAAAATCAAAAAACATATTTTAAAAGAAATGTTTCAAAAAATTCAGAAATTTTTTAAAAATATGCAGACATCAATGATTTTACCACACTTTCAAACTTAACATTTGTAAATAACAACTATGTCCAATAATTGTAAAAGTCAGGGATCGATTTTACATTATATCGATCTTATGAACAGGACCCCCTTCTAAAATTAAATCAATACTTTTTTGATTCTGACAAGTGTTTCCGGAAAGCGTGAAGAAAGTTAATCTACAAAAATGATTACCAAAATAATTTTTTTCTATTTTTTGCCACTATTTAAGTAGTGCCGGATTTTACAAGTACATAAATGATTACGATATTTCACAGAACACCCACTCATTTCCACTAACATATGTTTTAGGTTGATTGTACTTTATTTTCGTTATTGAGTACACCTTCATTTTATGCTACATATTTTTGGTAAAATCGGACAATTTGTATATTATCAAATTATGTCATGGTCACTTTTTAGTAGGATCGCTGTGAATATGCGGTATCGTGGTATATGTTGAATCGAATGGTGATGGTTGAAGTTGCTGTGGTGATAGAGTAAATTATAATGAAGGAATGGGTCACGAAACAGCTAGGTTTAAGATAGTCAGTGTTGACCAGCTTCACCTTACTTCCCCGTCGGTCTTGTGACAAAATTGTAATATTGCAATAAATAACAATTTCATATACGACACAAGGCCTTTTTAACATGGGACATTTATGCGTACATGGGACCAGAATACAAAAATAGTTCAGTTGGTTTTTGGGGTTTTTTTCCGACAAGCTAAGATCATTTCAAGGATTGCATCTTTAAGAAAGAAAACAGAATTAAAAGTGTATCTAGAATTTCATGAAAACAGAACGAAGGAAACTAATAAGAGCCTGTCGGAGCAAGTTTTTTTTTTACATTTTTTAAGTGGTGGGGTGAGTCAGATGGTATAACTATGTGTCGTAGCAGTGACCTGTGAACCAGAAGCCTATTTCCAGTGCTTGGTCAGTTCAAGGATACATACCTAAATTGCGAACAGAGCCGCAAAGGCTCTTTCCTTAACATGTTTGACAACATGGCTGTAAGATAAAAAATTAAATGCCGAAGTGATTTCAAAAACACATCAAGCTGAAAGAACACAAACAATATGTTTTATGACGTCATCATATTTTAATATTATAATAACTACTGTTGGATTTGCAACGTTTTAAGTTTTTTCCTTGCATAACACTGTCCTACACATGTTTTGATGCAATCCAAGTTCTGTTTCTTCTTACCTCTTTTTGAGACGCTGACCCCCAAAATCAAGCCATTTTTACTGTAGCGGTTAGGTTCACATTTTGCTGTAATGAATTTAAGTATTTAAAAAAAAATGACTTTTATTAATAATCAAATTCTCCAATAATGTTTAGATTTATTGTGAAGGCCTCCTGCCCCAAAAAATGAATATAATTCTTGATTTGCTCAAACACTTGGGTTTTATATTATGATAAGGTATGAACAAGGTAAAAAAATTCACCAGGACATCAAAGTTATGGAAGAATGCTCTCAAAGAAGGGGACAAAATAATAATAGCTGACTGTTGCTGGAAATTAAAATGGGAGAAATCATTCACAAAAATGAAATAATCGAATTGCCCTCAATATTCGAATTTCAATCAATTATTGATTTATATTTCTTTCGCATTTCAGAAGTTTTATTTCACCCTAAGATTGTGTTTAAGCTTTAAATAAGCATTTTTTTTCTTCACATTTGCAGTAACCTTATCCAATGATGACCATTTTTATACGAAGCATATGATAGTTTGGAGAATGTAGACTCAAACTGTGTAAAATGGATGCTGTTTTGGGGATTCAACACCCCAAAACCTGTCCGGAATTCGCCAAAACGCGTCCCCTTTCATAAAAACTTTAATAAAAATAAATAGTTTAAATTAATACAATAATATTTATTTTTATACAGTTAAATTTATATAATTAATTATACCTATCTATATCTATAATTCTCAAAATGTGTGTGTATGTATGTGTGCGTAATTGGATGTTGTTTATGCATTTCCACAGTTTTTTATCCGATTTCGATTAAATTTTTTTTGATAGATAATTCTTCAGTGCCAGTTTTGAGTCCAAATTGTTGGCGACAATGGCTCTCCACTACTTCCTGTCCATTATAACTCTCAGCAACGTTTTTACTATTTACCATCTGTTCTTGGATATATATCTTTCATAAAAACCTTAAAATAAATAGTTTAAATTAGTACAATAATATTATTTATTATTGTACAGTTCCCTTTTCAGTGCCACCCCCACCCACCATTCAAATTGTTATCACCCCCATTTGAGGATGTGCCTCAGTTGCACCCAAATGTTGTTACTAATATTGATTTTCGGGTGGGCTAACTTTAAACTACTCCAGTTGAACATCAAAAATTCCCAGTAATGAAAGACCCGGTCAAAAACAGTTTATGCTGTTAGTGTAAGAAAAAGATTCGTTCAGCAACTAAACTATTATAACTTATTTACATTCGGACTAATATCCTCATCTTTCTTATTATCACAACCTTTCGGTCGTTCTTCTCTCCAGCCTTCTTCAGGTGTCTATCCATTCGATTAACCAAAGATTTTCGAACTTTTTCCACCATTCTCTATTATTCCATACATATACACATAAAAAAATACAGTTATGCTGAAAAATATCTTCTGCTGAATGAGAGGCCATAGTTGATAAATAATTTCTTTAGGTGAGCGATAAATATAGAAGTATTTGTATGCCTCTAAGGAACAAGGTAAAAGTAAGACAGTCGTCAATTCCCACGTGGCCTGTTGTGTCGCATTCAATGAATTCAACATTAAAACCGGAAAATAGTTACAGAAAGGGCAGACCTATCCGTATACCTTCATTTTTATGAAATTCTAATATAAAACATTAGAAGAATATAAATTATAACACTTAATTTATTAATGTCAACTGTCAACCAAAAATGAGACGTTGGGCATTAAGGACAGGTTTACAAATAGAAAAACGTTAATACCAGATGTTTTTGAAACCTCTAATACTAGATTTTTTTTTTTCTATAACTTTTAATTCATATCGGAATTTTTTTAAAATACAAACTTAATTCATACCAGCTTTTTGTTTTTTTTTAAATAAAATTCTAATTACCATTTACACTATTGACACTGTTCGGACTGTTGTCCTCATCTTTATTGTCATATTAACGACGTTTCGGCCGTTGCAAGTTCCGACCTTCTTCAGGTGATATACGCTGAAATT